TCATCAATTAATTCAAACATAATTGGTAACACTATAATACATGCAAATTAACATGAATTGTTGTAGAAATGAACTGTTGACAAAATAATTTTCGACGAAATGAACTTTTGACAAAATGAACTTTTGACGAAATAATTTTCGACAAAATGAACTTTTGACAAAATGAACTTTCGGCGAAACAAACTTTTGACAAAATGAACTTTCGGCGAAACAAACTTTCAACAAAATGAACTTTCGACAAAATGAACTTTCGACAAAGTGATTGTCGACGAAGTGATTGTCGACGAAATAATTTTCAATGAAACAAACTTTCGACAAAATGAACTTTCGACAAAATGAACTTTTGACGAAATGATTGTTGACGAAATGATTGTCGATGAAATGATTGTCAACGAAATGAATCAGACCCCCGAATTTTTGGGTCAAAATCTCTTTTTTAGTTATCTCAAAATCATGATTTTGCTGTTAGGTACTTTTCTATTTCCGTGCCCCATATAAGGAAATGATTAAATAGCTAAGTCATGTTTGTTTTGTTAAAAATATTATATTTAAAATATATAATAAAAAAATTGCAAGACTGCACCACTATGTCAATCAAGCTATCAAGCTGTTATGTTTGTTCATGATTTAAAATTCTTTTGTGGTCCCATCTTTCTTTGCTTATATATAATCTATTGTTTCTCTTTTTACTGGTCAAATGATGCCAAATTGGATAATGGGGTATCAGCAAATATCATAATCTGATTATTCTTTAAAAAAATAATTTAGGTATTATATATTAGCATACTGCAGTCAGGATTATTACCAAATTTGGGAAATCTAGTCTAGAAAAATTGGAACTCCTTTGCCAATCAATTTATATGTGTGGCAAACAAGTTAACGTGATACTTTGCTGCCTTTTGAAAATCTTTTTTTAAAAAAAAATAACAATAATAATCAAAATAAACAGTATTAAACTTACTTTTTCATAATCTACTAAAAATCTACAAAAACTCATTTAAATTTAAGGGTTTTTTTTTCTCTTTTGAACTTTAGTAAATAAATGCATAAAATGTCAAGATCAATTGCACCTTGCTCATTTGCTGCACTTGCTGAGAAATATTTCGAGAGTCATTTGAGATAAATATGTTAAATGCAATAGAGAGTGAAGCAAAAGATCATTTAAAAACTATTTGCTAAGTATTTATTCAAAATATGCTTTTACAAAATTAAATGTTGTAACAAATTCTCAATAATTTATATTTCCAATCATATTAGAATTATTTACAAGCAATAGTGGAATGAAATTAAAACAATTATAATAATGAGTGAATGATAAGTTGTTTAATTAATTAATATCACAGTCTGGGCGAAGTATCCCATTTGGGATTATTGCCATTAATTCCTTCCAAATAAATAATATGAAATATTATTAAATTAATATTATTGTGGTTTGCAAAATAGTTGATTTTTGCATATCCTTGTTACCCATAAATTTTTTTGAGTATGGTATAACTCTTGCAGAATGCATGGTATGGTATTGTATAAGTGTTGTATAACAATGCTTAAATCTAACATGCTTCCCTTCACACCCGCCAAAAAAGGATTTAGAATAAAATTTTGTGTGACTTGGGATGGAAAAATATAGGCTATACCATACGTTCTGCAAGGGTTATACCATACTGAATCTCTCCCTACCTATTTCAAGTTCATGTATAACTGTGCCAACCAACTATAAAATTTTACTAAAAATTAATTGGATGATCATTTCTAAATTTAACAATTTAGTCATAGTCAAGTTCAAGTATTAGCCTGGGCTCATTCAAGCTGGCAAGTTAATTTTAAAAGAGGCTCAAGCTTGGCATTTAAACAATGGTTTTTTTGCATGTTCTAATAAAATTTCCATTGTTGCTGCATCATCTGTTGCTGATTCATTAGCAGTGCAGATTAGATTGGTTTTGGACATTCAACATTATCCAGATTATCATCAACTGCTTTTTTGTTATTTTTGATAAAAAAAAAAAATCCTTTGCAAAGAAGAACATCAAAAGTTATTTACAAATTTCAATTATTAAAAAAAAATTCTTTTTTTTTCTTAATTAAAAACCTTATGTTCTCGTGTTTGTTTATTTACCCCAGATTAAAGTCAACTGTATCAATTAGATTTTTTTATTAAAAAGTCAATAAACTTTTTTTTCTTGATTAAAAATCATTTGAAAAGATTAATTATTCCAAATGAATTTTTTCTTATCCAGATCATCCACCATCTTTCAAATGGTCAAAATCAAAAATCTCCGAAAGGAAATAAAAAATGAATTCAGATCATCCACTATTCCTCAAATGTTCTAATCAAATATATATATATTTTTTTAAACACGAACAATCAAAAAAACTTGTACATGTTGTTATATTTATCGATCATTGAATTGACCGATGATAACAATAATAGTAATGACAACAAAATAAAACGTAATAGTAAAAAGATGCTTAGAATCCAGATCTCGTGACCAGAAAATACGTTAACATTGGTACTACCAACACGTTGTGCGACAAGTCTTTGACGATCTGAGGTAAAGGCTCCAAGACAAGGAGATCAGTTTTGGTCATTTTGAACAGTTCAAAACGTCAGAGAAAGACAGAAACCTAGCGGTAGACAACGGCAGACACTACGCAAAAAAATATCTAAAGCGAAACACGATTTCCTTCCGTTCCAGTCAAGTATCTGCTTCGCTCAACCTGACGTTTTGAACAAAAAATTTCGGTTTCACGAAACATGATAAATTAGATATATAGCAAAAATGGGATTCGCGATGATAAAAATAACCACTCATCATTTTTAGAAAACGAAAATATTTCTGTTCAAATTTCAACTTTAACAAAATTTGGAAATCATTTCAAGCCAGCGCAGCAAAAAAAAAAAAAAAAGACTCATCACAAAGTTTCACCTTTTGATTTTGATCTCATCCTTCTCCAACAATTCGGTTTACTAAGTTGAGAAACAAAATTAAAATGTTTAGAAGATTCGGATTCGTTACGTATCTGCACTTAATATCAATTGAGTCACAATCTCAGTCACAGTCACAATATTAAACAAATATAACATTCACAACAGAACATTTCCCGTAGAACAAACATTTTCCAAAATTGCGAATTGGGAAAAAATGTTACCGCAAAATGTCGAAATCCACAAAAGAATTACACATTGATTTTTATCATATAATACAAAAATAATAATCGCGAGTTACACAGAAATTACAATAAAAATTATTTAAATAAAAAAAATCAAATTACTAATACCAATTTTATATTGAAGTTTCAAAAAATAACCAATGTCTTACCAAGAGTTATTGTCATTATTATCGCCGGAAAGAAAAGAATTTGTAAAATTAACATATAACAAAATGTTGAATATTAAGGATGAGCATCAAATGAATAAATATTTGTCATTAGCAAAAAAATCTTTACAAAATACTTTTAATAATGAAAGAGGTTTAAATGAAAACGACAGAGAATCTCAAAAGAATATATATTTATTATTAGTAAAAGAAAATAAAGAACTTTCAGAAAATGAAAAAAAATATTGTAGAGAAAGATATATTTACGAATATGAATTAGTCAATGCAAGCCGTAAAATTGGGAATCCAACAGGATGCAAGTATTGTAAGATGACAAGATATTCTGATAAATTTTGTGAAAAATGTATTTGTTTACATTTACAGTCGCTTTCTGAAACTTGGACATCTGGAAATAAAATTATTGATAACTTTATTCAAGAATGTCAAAAGCGTTCATCTCTTCCAACAAATATTATGGAATGGATACCTTTTGATCAATTTGAAGGGGTGAAATATTTAACTAGAGGAGGATTTGGTAAAATTTATACTGCATCATGGAGAAAAGGACGCATCTTTGATTATGACGAAAATAAAAAAGAACTCTCTTATTATGGACGTCAAGATGTAGTATTAAAATCATTAAATTCAAATGATATTGGAAAAAAATTTTTTGATGAGGTCAGTAATAATTATTATATAAAGTGAAATAAATCATTTTTCAAAAAATAATATTTAATTCCATATTTATATAAATAAATAATTTAGGCTTTGGTTTATTGTATAATTAAATCAAAATTGGTTATTCCTTGTTATGGTATAACTAGATTCCCAGAAGGAAATTATGCAATGGTTTTAACTTATGTACCATTAGGAAATTTAAGAGATTTTTTATGGAAAAATAATTTAAAATTAACATTAAAAGATAGAATGTTATTAATTAGGAGTTTATGTCAATCATTGTATGAAATACATAAAAAAAATTTAATTCATTGTGATTTACATAGTGGTAATATATTGGTACAAGCCGGTAATAGTTGTTATATTACAGATTTAGGTTTATGTGGACCAGTTGATGATGAATCATCAAACAAAATTTATGGGATCGTGTCATATATTGCACCAGAAGTTTTTAAAGAGAGAAAATATGCAAAACAATCAGATGTTTATAGCATTGGAATGTTAATATGGGAAATATTTGCAGGTTATCCACCATTTAACAATATAGCTCATAATCACCATTTAATGATTGAGATATGTAAAGGTTTACGACCACCAATATTACCAGGAATACCTGATGATTGTGCACAAATGATGAAAAGGTGTTGGTATGTGGATCCAGCCAAGAGACCGACTATTGGAGAACTTTATTATTTTTTTAAGGAGCATTTAAATAATTTAAATAAAATAGAAACTGAAACTATAATGCTTACAAGTAATTCAAAAGATAATAG